AACAAAGAAAAATGCTTAAAACACCATAGATGGAGCATGCGATCAAAGAGGAAGTTTTAAAGAAAATGGGAACAAAAAATGCTTATGTTTCAAATCAGAAAGAGACAGTTGAAATTCCTAAAACACATAATGAGGAAAGAAGGCTTGGAGAATTTAACACCCATGAGACATTGAAGGATGGAAGGACAGGAAAACGGCAAGTAACCTGCCTAACAAATTTGTATAAGTTGATGTCAGGTCAGAGAGTGGGAAGTATAGTAAAAAAGCAAAGAAGCTGTGGAGAGATATTATCTATCCTGAAGGGAAGACAGCATATAAGGCAGCTAATCATTACAGAGATAATGAGAAATATTTCTGAACTGTTGCAATGTACGACAAGAGTGTTGAGATTCTTGGAAACACTTAACTGATTGCTCTCCCACCCATTACGGGGTGTGGGGTAGTAGGCAGAGAGGGGAAAGAGACAGGAGATAATGAAAATAATACACTACCTCAGAAACCACAACAACTTTAAAAACAAAATGCCCATGGGACTGACTTCACAAAACTGCTGGGTTTCCTATTGCTTTTATTGGTATAAGGCATCTGACAAAGTCCTGGATCAGTTGCAGAGAGGCCTGTATCTAGACATTCCAAGCTGTCCTGCTGTTATCGGAGAAAACCTGGATGTAACTGGAGTTGACAAACATGTCCACACACAATCTGTACCAACATGCATTTGCCACAATAACTAAATGATGCTCTACATGTAGTTGAATTAAGAGTGGAAGTTGGTGCTTTAGTTGAGTTTGATAAAACTAGCATATGATAGTTTAATGTTGTCTCATGTAAGCATTGGCCTGAAATTGGTTTTGACAATACCAGAGGTACACATTGCCTGACCACAGAATGGTGGATTCTAATTATTTATATAAGTGACAACTAGTTCCAGGCAGACCCAAAATTTGGAATTTGAATCTGAAGTATGATTGGTTTGTAAATTCAACTCTGGGTTTGGGCCACATGGTGCTGCTCTCTATTACATCTTTACTAGAAAGATTTGGTGAAAGGTCATGAACTTTCATCTGTATGAATATGGGTCATTCTATTTTTAGAACTCTGGTTTAGATATCATCGACTGAACGCATGAGCAATGATGAGGTCTTAGAGAGGATGCAAACAAGGAGGAGGCTTGTACTTAACATCAGGAAGAGGCAGCTGAAGTTCCTGGGACACATAATGATGAAGGAAGGCCTGGAGAATCTGATACTCACAGGTCAAATAGAGGGATAGAGGGACAAGGGAAAACAATGCATGATATACCTAATTGGCTTAAGCAAGTGGTTGACTGAATGTTGTCTGTGACAGGTAGTAGAGGAAAGGAACTTGTTAAGAGTTGCAAAGGATAGAGAGCCATGATTGCTTATATCCTGAAAGGACATGGCACATTAAAAGAAAGAAGGTTTAGTCTGGTTTCTAGAGAAAAAGTATAAGTTTGTTTATATTTAATATTTGATCTTTTCATGTTACCATTTCACTCAAGAATTTATGAGAAAATTATCAATAAATTAATAACTCTTGAAATTCATGTTAGCTTGAATTTAATAGAATTTCTCATTTAAAAATATTCCTTCTCAATATAATATTTATATTCAAGCACCTCTTATATTGTAGAAAGAAGCACCAGAATAGACCAATATTGGCAATTTCTGCTCATTATTAAAAGACAGAATAAAATATTGTTAAAACATTAGAGTTACTTAAAAAGCATTACTGTCTTTCCAGAAAATTTTTCTCATTTCAGAATCCATCTTGCACATTTATAAATCTGTCACGGGATCTAACTATCCACTGTGCCACTTATCCTTTAAGTTAATGTAAATTGTGTACATAATACCTCATCTTGGAAATATAGACAGATACTGAGGAATGATTATTAAATGGAAAAGTTCTGTAGTCTTTAATAAAACATGCCTCAATAATATATATATATATATATATATATATATATACATACATACCTAAAAGAATTCTTTATCACTTTTTTGTGCTATTTCTTTTCTCTCTCTCATTTTTTTCTTTTTTCTTTCATTTTACTTTTATTGACAATCTCACTATGTTCACACACTGTTCCTAACTCACAAAAATTTCAACACTAATATCACCCCCACCCCTGGTCCTATAACCCTTTTTCCTTTATGTTCAACATCTCACTCACCTTCCACCCACCACCAATCACGATTTTTAAATCTAAGGTTATTTTCACATAAAGTTTCACACAATGAGAAATCAAACAGGAAAAGGATTTTTTCCTAACAATTCCACCTACAAGCAGACTCTACCCAGCCCCAAGAACTAATGTTGGATAGTTTCCACCATGCTTCTGTTTATTTCTTGCATCTGCTGATGAAAAACACAGGCATGTTCGAAAATTCAGAATTTGGAACCTCAATCTCCATATATATATATATATATATATATATATATATATATATATATATATGAAGAAATATAGTTTTAAGATGTGCTATATTTATGGGATAAAGTGCTCAATATTTATATATATGAATATATATATATATACTCACACACACACACACTTAGAGGTAATTAAACATAATCTAAAATCCTGGGAACTATTTTAAATTACCTTTATGTTAGACTGTTTGGGTTGAGCTTGAACCCCATGGTTGACTCCATCTTGCATTTTGTATTTATTGCTTCAATTTTGATTTATTGTTTTGCTAAATCACTTTGTTTCCCTTTGTATTAAATATGAACCATGTCAGTCAGTTTCATTAACAGTGCCATTAACAATAACAGGCACATGTGAAATCATTCTTGGTAACCTTGTAATGTACTGCAAATAGATAGAGGTTGTTTGGCTATTTTGCCAGTGGAAGCCTTAAATTACATGTTGAACAGCTATCAAATATCTCACGGATTTCAAGAGTTAAAATGCATTAATTTATTGATACACTGATACTTAGTAAAAGTTCTTCTGAAAAAAAAAAACTCTCCTCATACTCTAATAATTTGGCAAATTTATATATGAGTAAACATTTTTACATTTTCAGGAATGAAAGAGGATTGATGGAACTCTATTTTGGCAAAATATTTACTTTTTTCTAGTTATCAACATTACCTTTCATACTTTCAAAGAGCATATAAAATATTGCATTTTTACTGTAATGGTTTTTGGTTTTGATCAAAACAAAAGTAATTGATGCTTTTAAACTTGGTTTCAGTGTCTTGAACACGGCAATGCATCAAATGAAAATAACCCAATGGATATTTGGTTTTAACACCTTTACGTTTATTTGCATTAAGAACTCATTGCAATAAGAATGATTGGGATCTATACATTGCTTCCAACAATAAACATGTTTATCTATTCTGGTAGCATAAAATTATGGATTCCTGGAACAGATGAATTCTTTGAAGGTATCTGTCTATATCTCTGAGATGAGGTATTATGATTACTTACATTATTTGGATTTTTATCCTCATCTTCATTGCCATATTTTCAACATTTCAGTTATTGTATGCTCTGGCCTTCTTCAGGTGATAGGAATTTCGAACCGAACACTTTATTTCGTCCACCAGGGTAGATTGTTTTATTTCCATGTCCCACGCCTCTTCCGAATGTCTCAGTTATTTCCCTTTAACTCAGCTCTCCAAGTTTGGTTCACCACTGCTGTGGCGTTGTATTGAACTCACAACTCTTTGGGTCTAGTCACTGGATCTAACCAATGTCTCTATCCATATGTCATTGAGAACAATCTACCCTGGTGAATGAAATAAAGGGTTCAGTTTAAAATTCCAATTATTTGAAGAAGGCCAGTGTGTACAATGGTTGAAACGTTCTTTGAAAGTGTTTTCAGTTACTGCTTCATTGTTGAAAACGATTTCTTGCAGGAAATATTAAAAATGCTTGAAAATATGGTTGTTAGTGAAAAAAGTGGTCAGGTAGGGGGTAAGGTCAGTGAGTTAGAGACCCGTTATTTTGATTCTTACAGAGTCATCTGTGACATATGTTGTTGGGTTTTGTTATATTTTTTCATTGAATAATGTTGGAGAAAAATATTGAAGTTCTTGGTGAATTTTAATTTCATGGAAATTCTCTGCTGTGATAGTTTTCATAAAATTCCAGAATCTGTAATGGCTGACTTCACTTGTTGACCATGAAATGATGACCCAAATCTTTTTTGTTTCAGGAAATGTTTTAGTGTGTCATCTTGGTTTAGCCACAGTACAAAATGCAATCAGTTGTCATTTTTTTATCATATGCCAAAATGTGAGCAAGAAATAGGTGATTGACTTGTGTAAAAAAGAACTGAATAGATTTTGTAATAGTTATTTTTTTTATTTTCTTTCAGTACACGTTGGTATATATTTTTTACTTTCCTTCATCACATGTAGCATATATTTCTTCATATATTTTATGTTTTTTTATTTTCCATTTTGGTAAAAATGTTGAGCAGCTGTTGAGTGTCAAATGTTTAGTTTTTCTTCAAACTTGAGATATTTTGCATGGTTCCATCTCAGTAATGATCTTCAATCAGTTGTTATTACTCGCAGAAGGATGTTCACAGTCCTTTTCATCTTCAAGGCTCACATCTCTTTGTTATAAAAGTTTTAGAAGCAATATTGTGAATATTCTTATTCAATCATTTATTATTATTTACATTTATTGATGATGCGTTTTGTTGAAATTGCAATCTGCTTCCACCATTTTTCATTCTATCTTAATCACACAATAAAATCAATCAAATTTACTTTTTTTCTATCATTAATTTAACAGCCTAAAATAAACAAGTGTAAAATCATTAGCATAAATCTTTGAAGCTAAGTTTGCACTTTAAAATAATACATGAATGTAATTTAATTTCAAAATATGCAGTAAAATTAAAAATAGCAAAAGGTGTAATTATATTTGCACTAAGAGAGGCTGTTCAAAATAAATACTAATAATGAATATCTCTTTCTGTTAATGATTTTTAATGTGCTTCTCTTTTCAGGATGGTTACATAGAATTTGACGAGTTTTTGCAAGCCTTATCGGTTACATCCCGGGGAAATGTAGATGAAAAGTTACGGTGTAAGTATAAAAAATATCCATTTTTTTTTTAGTATATTTTGTTTTTGTCTGAATTTCTGGGATAAGGAGTTATTACATTATTTGCATTTTTTTTAAATGAATTCGCCTCAAGCAAGGCGATAACACCCCTAAGATACAAAGGTTACTGGAAGTGAAAGAGAAGGAAAAGATTTTAGAAGGAACTGGAAGTGCAATACTAATATAAATTTCAGAGTTTAGGTGGAGACATTAAAATTACAGAGTTGAAGTAGAATCAGAAAGCCAATCCTAAACAGGAAACAAGGGATAAATCTCTTTTTCAAGAGTTAAGATATTGTCTGTCAATTGAATAAATAGAATAATTGTCAGAGATATGTACCAAGACATTTGACTAAATCTTAAAACTGCAGATACTAGTTGTTACAACTTGGTAAGGAGGGGTCTGTAATAACAACAACAACAACACAGTTTAGTCTGCTGAATTCTCTCTGCAGAAGTGATATTCCTGCTTTTTATTCATGCATACACAATATGGCCAACACAGTACTTCCATGTCTGAACAATAGTTGAAATGATGCTTCCATTTACTTAGTTTACAGTTACATCATACCTTCCCAATGATTCAAAATTTAATTAAACAATATTATTGTCACAAACTGTTACTTAGGTGGGAATATCCATGTACATTTCAAAAGAATTCTGAGAAGTAAACAAGTTATCAGGGGCAAGAATTGTTTCACTACTGTCATAGTTACATCATTATCATCATCTTCCATATCAGAGTTCTCTGTAATTCTATCATCATTAATCCTCAATGAATCAGTTCCATCTGCAATAAGGTAATCCTCCTGTTAGTCTGAATATTGACAACTAAACAATTGAAACATTTTCAATATGGCTGCCAGCATTTTATAGAAGCTATCACCAGGTGGCACTAAACAACAACTAAAAGGCAAGAGCAATAACTACAATATTAACATGGTGATTTCTTTTCAGCAAGTTCCCTCGCTAAGAGTCAGGCACTGTGTAACTTTCCTGTGGTGTCTAGTTTTATGAATATATCTAGTTGCTTGGGCTCACTTTCAGCCTTACTTCTCTTTGTTTCCTTGCATTTCTGAAAACATGTTCTGATGGGTGTTCTGCTTGCAGATTTTTCTCCCTCGGTCTATCTCTGTAGGTTTCATGATACTGTGCAGTTGATGATGGGCACCCCAAGGCGGTGTAATGGTTAGCAAGCTTGTCTTGCTAGAACCATTACGACTGAAAAGTGAGTCCTATCCTCACTGGGTGCCCCATACTTTCGGCCTTGTGCCACATCTAAGCTATGCTATTATGCAGTTGATGCTGAGAGTCTCTTATTTCTTTAGTTCCTGTTTACAACACTAGTGATTTACTAAGTGTAGATTAGATGTGGCACAAGGCTGCAAGTAATGAGCACTAAGTGATGATCAAACTCACTGGTCAATCATAATTGATCCAGTGAGACAAGTTTACTGACCATTACACCACACTGAAGTGTCCAAACTGTAGATAGTATATGTTAACTAAATAAGGTTTCCTTTGAATATGAGAGTTTGTATGAGTTATATCCTCTTTGATGATTGACTGCTTGGAGGGAGTGGTTGATCAAAATAGGTGACATTATTTATTTGCATTGCAAATCTTGTGCTAGGCTATTGACCAATCATAGCTAACCTGTGGTTAAAACCATAGCTTTACACTTTAAGGTGTAAGCATTCAAGTTTGTTGTTATTTTACTTCTTGGACTTTTGGCATTGAGGCATAAAATTAGGCAAGTCTAGTCACAGGAGGTGGGAGTGGCTCTCCAGGATGTGTCTTCCGCAGTAGAGATTAATCCCTGTCACCTGAGGTGTCTTCAAAAAAGAAAATGGTGAGATGGCCAGACTTTTTTTGACTTCTAGTCCCAGGCACATGTAAGACACCCATTTTAAACACATCTTTTTGACACATTCTGCTCAAGTAGTCATCATTGTCAATTCCATGACCAGGTGGAATCATAGGATTATTGCACAGTTGAGTGCCCGATCAGTTTCCTCCACATGTCTTGGGCAAGAAAGCCTGGCAGAGGCCATTCCTCTCCAGGTCAAACCTTAGTTGATGTCCTCCAACTGGGTGGCCCATTTTGGTCATGAACATGTGGCTATTAATTCCATCACCCAGGTTGTTGACTTCAGTCTAAGAAGCCCTCTGCCAGTAATGATATGTCATCAATATTCTTGCTGCATAAATAGCTATGGAGCAGCTTGAGAAGATATGCAGATAAATCCCTGTTTTCAGCTTAAAGAGAGAACAACAGAATGCTGAATATTTTGTTGTGGGACTCACTGATGCATTGACCTTCTCTGAATGCTGTTTTTATATCTTTTTTAGAGTTGAAAAAACTCGACGACAACATGATTGTAATATTATAAGCAAAATTGTACATGAAGTACAATGAAATACAATTCAGAAACACTTTGTATTTTATAAGCATAAATTGATTTATTATACATTTCAGCATGACAACTAATAATAAGTAATAATGAAGGCCGAGATAATTTGTTATAATTCAGAAACATTTTAAAGTATTTAAGCTTATAGCATTGTCTCTAGAACTTTGTTGTTGTTCACATGTTTGGTTCATGTTATTCTCAGCATCCTTATGTAGAACCACAATAGCCTAGTGGATGAAAGTGTTGATTTGTGAATTTAGTGATAAAGTAATTGTGAATTCAAGTCCTAGTCAGTTGAAATAGGGCAAGTAATAACTAAAAATAAGAATAGATGAAATATCCTTAGATATGGGCAGTGGAATGAGAACTGTCTATTCCCTTACATTAAATAAAGCATTCAGTTCAGAATTCTCTGTAGATCACATGGGTTAACATACACCAAATGAAAGTTGGAGGGAAAAACAGCCAAAGAATTTTGTGATAACAACAATAAAGATGAAGACAATAGTATGCATATAGTGTAAATAAAGCTAACTCATTGTTTTTCTCAGAAAATATTGCCTTTCATGTACTCTGTGAGTGTTAAATTCTCTAAGCCTTCTTTCCCAAAGATTTCCAATTGTCTTTCTGATTGTTATCACCAAATTTTTGTAGTTTCTATTCTTCTGAGAAGTTCCATATTTGTCCTATATTCTGTCGATAATATTCTCAACATATGCCAGTAAAAGCATATCAATACTTTTTTACTATTTGTGATGAAATTTTCTAACCAGTGTGGAAGAGAAACTGGTTAGTACTTGAATAGGAAGAAAATTAAGATTTCTCAAAGGCTTGATAAAATCCAAGTGACGGCTGGTTAACTCGAAATGGTGCCTCAATAAAAACACCAAGGAGAAGTCAATCTATAACTACTTCAGTATATCTCTCCAAAACAACAATCATGTCTATTCATGGCTCAAAGATGAAGATTTCAAATTATTATTGCTATTGGTTAGAATCTTTTCTGAAATGCCATAGGTGATCATCGCTCATTAAAGATTTGTTTTTCTTTATCTGTGAATTGGTAGACCTTCTGGGGAAAGATAGTGGAGTAGTTTTTTTATTGCTTTCTCTATAGTTTGGAATTCAGAATTTTTCTTCTCTTGGACTGGTTGCCAAACAAGGCTAGAGAGAGCCCAGTTTATCATGCTATTTAAGTTTACAGGTCATAAATTACCTTGAGTTTACAATTACTTTTTGAAAAACAGTATTGCACACAAGCTAAGTATATCTGTTGCTTAGGATTATATAAAAAAAGTTATGATTTTCATTTACACTATTTAATTATTCGGACTATTGTCCTCACCTCTGTCACCATATTTATGACAAAATTTTGGCCGTTGTATGCTCCAGCCTTCTTCAGGTGGTTAGAATGTCAAACTGAACCCTTTATTTCGATCACGGAAGTAGACTGTTCTACTTCCACATGCCATGTTTAATTATTACGTTATTATCAGTTATCTCCTGTTAATTCCCCTCACCAAGTTCTCCACTGTCTTAACCAGGTATTGAACTCACATTCTTTGGGTCTTGTCACTGGATCTAACCAACGTCTTTATCCACTGTGCCATGTGTCCTTGAGGAAATAGAACAGTCTACCCCAGTTAGCGAAATAAAGTATTCAGTTCGACATTCCAACCACCTGAAGAAAGCTGGAGTGTACAACAGCCAAAACGTTGTAATAAATATGGGGACAAAGATGAGGACAACAGTCTGAATAATGTAAATAGTGCACATAATACCTCATCTCAGAAATATAGACAGAGATTGAAACATTGTAATAAATATGGCAACAAAGATGAGGACAATAGTTTGAATAATGTAAATAGTGTACATAATACCTCATCTCAGAAATATAGACAAACATTCTCATTTAGTTACTTTTTAAAGATGATTCTGCAGTTTGGTATTAAAAAATCATGAAGACAGGTTTTTCTATTAGTCATCTTGAAAAAATAAATATGGGCTACAGAGGTACGAAGCACATATACTATTAAATATAGAATTAAACAAATTTTACTCTCCACTTTACCTTTAAGAGGAAAAAATCCAATTTGATTCAATAGATACTTGAAGACAGTTACATTGAAAATATAATAAAAACAAGATGGAAAAAAATATTTGTGCAAATAACTTGTGGAATAAAACAATATCTTTAGATTTATATTTCCCTTTTATTTTCAGGGGCTTTCCGGCTCTATGATCTTGACAGTGATGGCTTCATAACACGGGAGGAGTTGCTAGATATTGTAGACGCCATCTACAAAATGGTGGTAAGTTTGTGGCTTTCCTATTTGCTTTTATTGATTGAATATCAAGTATTATATTTACTGCCAGCCATGTTATATTGATCAGAGGTGAAAACACAGCACTGTCAAACTGAAAAACAGCAAAAATGACTGATCCATCATAAAGATATTATATAACACACTGAAGAAATATGAAATTAGACTTTACAGGTTCATTACTACCTTAGATATTTGAATCATTACTTAATGTTGTCCATATTTTTTGTTAATGTTAGAAAACTGACTAAACTATTCCCCCACCAATCTGATGAGGAGATACCCAGCAAGATTAAAACTAGACTTGTCAAAGGGTGGATTAACCAACCATTTAGTACAATAGGGTAGATTATACAGTATAGTTATATATGCAGCCAGTGCAGTGATGTCATGGCCTCACTGTACTTTCTAAACTGAAGTCAATGGCAAGGTCAAAGGGTTATTCCAGTGGAATCAATGGCCATATGTCTGTAATCAAGGTGAGCCTTCAAGACGGATGGCGTCAAATATGGTTTTACCTGGAGAGGGTTTAACTCTGCTAGGTGTATTCACCCAAGACACACTACATATAAATGAATACCTCTTTGGCTTTCAACCTAGATATATGAAAGGAACTGCTCAGGTGTTCACCTGTGCTGTGACCTTACAACCAAATTCAACAATGTGATTGACAATGATTAATAACTGAGAGAAGAGAATATTAATACTTTAGTTTGGTAAATTTAATAAACTATAAAGAAAAATGCTAATACGTATTCTTAGCACTGACTTAGTTTTCTTTTTTTTTCTTTTTGCTATGCAATGAATTGTAATTTTTCTGCCATTACCCTATTAGCAGGGATTATAATATGCTGACTGTATCCACTACAGAGGGATATGACTGCCTGCTCCCAAAGGAGCCACTTTACTGTTGGACATATGCAAACTCAAGTATAAGCCCAAACCAACATTTAACCATAGACACAAATGTTATCAATCCTGGGTACGACAATATACTACATCTGTGTCCTAGGTAAAACAATAAACTATATGCAACAGCAAAGCCTCTGATCAGGAAGTTTTGAGAAGTGTGGAACCACCTCTTAATTGCTGGTGTTCCCAGGTCCACCCTGACTTGGTGTGGTAGCACTGATAAGGGTCCCAGCTATTGGCAAATAGTTAACCCCCAAACTGGGTTCAAAACACTATGAAAGTGTAAAAATAGGTTTTAATACTTTGTAAAAAGTTATTACTAACAATAAATTTTTGAAGAAAAATTATTACCAGCAATACATTTTTGAAAAAAAAAAAAAATTGCTGGCTATACATTTAAAAAAACAATTACCAGCAATAAAAATCTTGTCAACATTAAATAACCCATTAAGGTTGATATGCCGTAAAACAAAACAAAACAAACCAAACACAATTTTATGAAAAACAGATTTTGACAGAGAACCCAACAAGGTTGGATATACTATAAAATACACTCCTCCCCACAAAAAAATAAAACAGGCTAAAAACTAATTCTGAAAATAGTAAGTATTTGTATTCAAGAACACATGGCCCAGTGGATAAAAATGTTGGTTGGATCCAAAGAGTTGTGAGTTCAATACCTGGCTACTGCAGTGATGAAAAAAAACTTGGAGAGTTGAGATAACTTAAACATCCAGAAGAGGCATTGTATTGCCTTAAATAAAACCATGGAATAGATTCCCAAGTGCCAAAGGTTAATACTAAACATGCCACAAGATACTGTCATGGCCATTCTCAGAGACCTGCTTAAAAGCAGGTCTCTGAGAATGGCCATGACAGTTACAACCTGGCATGCCACTGACCATCACACAGTGTTCTGCTGCTGCTATTGCTGTGACCATTGCCACCATCACTCAACATGACCACAACTCTCAATGACCATTACCACTCTTAAACTTGACTAACCACCTTGACAATCCAGCTTCATGCTGATAACATCTCAACCTCCTCACCTTGACAAACACCAGTCATGAGCAGCCAACTATCTTGCTTTGACACCTCCTGGCTACAAGCCTTCATTTTCGACACCGCTGTCAACTTGGCAAATACCGACATGATAACATCTCGACTTTGACATTGTGTCACCTCAGTACCTGATAGAATAAAATCTTGGCTTTGACTCTTAATGCTTATATACTATACATCATCAACAAAGATTCATGACCTCTGACTCCTAATGCTCATATCCTACGTATTGGCAAAGTTAGGTTTATGATTTCTCCTTTGTATCACAAACACCTTGGCAACCCACTGCTGTCATCTTGCCATAACCAATATGTACAAGGCTTTCCCTTGCAGCCATCACTGTGGACCCATTCAACAGAACAAATCTACCATCCATGCCAATCCAATTTCACCCCGTTCCATAGAACAGGCATAACCAACAAATGAAAACAGCCTACAACCGTGACCTTGATCAATCAACACACACCAACCATACGCTGTGACCTCTCACCAAACCCACACAAGAATTAGGTCAACTGCTGATACTGCCCTTACATTGATTGCCCTCCTGACAACCACTGAAATGGACATTACACCCATTCTTCAACATCACTGTACAACATGTCAACAATAAACTTTTTTCAAATCTAATCCTCATTATTCCTTTCTCTCGCTATTAAACGTTTAATATAATAATCACATAATCACTATATTTTTCTTTCCAAATAAAGAACCTTTCTCTGATGGTTGGCAATTAAACCGGCTCATCCACGCCACTTTGTTTGGTGTAAGAAGCATGGTTAGTAACTCTCTTGGATAAAAAAAAAGATGTATCAAAGAGGGGAAGAACTCCCGATAAGTCAACGGCCAGATAATTAGAGTTTGTGTCTCAATAAAACCCCCAGAGTAGGCAATAGGAGCCACTCCACTATCTTTGCACAGAGGACCAGATAACTGAGAAAATGACAAGTGTGGGCTGGATAACCATTTTGTTCAATACAATACACTGAATGCACAAAAATAAAGATAAAAAACACACTTAAAAAATTATCCAAGAAGGTGAAAATAGCAATAAAATAGTTATACCACACCATATGCGCACATATTTGAATCTCACAAACTATTAATATTTGTTTTGGTATTGCTGCATCCTACCAAGAGAAATGTTTTCAAATGTTCATCAGTCATCCTTGTTACATGTGTTGATTTTACGTACTTTAGATTATATAATAAGTTCAGGCAAAATATATGACGTAATTCACTGAAAACAATCCTTTTTTTATATATTTTTATATATGGCACTCTTCAAACTGGTTTAAACATAGCAATGCAAATTAAGACATAATTATTGTAGCAGTCTTGTAATTGCTTTTCTTAGAAACTTCATTGCAGGTATTTACACAAAAAATGCTTGGATATCAAAAGTCACCTAATTTTTTATTTCACTGATTTTCCTTAAACTTATATTATTGTCAGATGCAAAAATCAGTTTGGGCAAATTTTGGCATTGTACTTAAATTTATTTTAACTATTTTTTACATATTATGTTTAACTACAATCTATTGATAATTCCATATAAATAATTACATTATAGCTCATTTGTGGCACAGTGAAGTGGTGAGCCAGATGAACTGACATCAGGGGCTGGATGAACTGACATTGAGAGCCAGATCTGGCCCATGGACTGTAGTTGATAACTCCTGATCTATCCCCAAAATAACCATGGCAATAAGTAACATGACTATTAGAGATAACGGCATGAAGGAGTAAAGTCCACTGGTGATAACTCTTTATTTGGTAAGACAAGAGCAAAATGTGTCACTGGACTATTATCCAGTGACTGTTTGTAACAAACAACAATTATAAATAATCAATATACTAAGTATATGTGAAACTAGGTGGGCAAGTAATGGTGACTTCATTAGCGATACACACAGGATCCTACATGAAGGCAGAGAGAAAAATGAAAGAAGAGTAGGATTAATACTAGATTAATACTAGATAATAATATGAAAAAGTTTGTGTTGTGAAAGAGGAAGTCACTTGCCAAAAAAAGGGTACTTGTGTTCTGTACAATATACCAAAGACAAAATAAGCAAAATAGAAACAAATCAGTCGCAGGTGTTGCCATAAATGCATCTTGGATATACTAATATTGTTTGTCATCTCCAACTGTCAGACAATAAAAAAAGTTGTTCTGTCAATAAAAGCAGTTGGTTTTCTACCATGTCTGTTGGTTTGCAAGTGACTGTTGTCTTGTGTGTTTGATTTCTGACCATTTACGTGTATTGAGATTTTTGACATTGGACCTGTGATTCATAATTTCAATATTTCTTTCTCCCCCTGGATCTTCAAGTTTGGATTTGTTTATTTAGTTTTGTAATTGTGCTGCAAATCAAATTTTGAACAATTGGTTCTGAGGTACTGTCAACTTTTGAACAGGTTTCTTTTATTTAAACTAAAAGGAAAGCCTTTTAGCATAGCTATTGTTGTTGTTGTATATGCACTGACAACACAGAGCATAGAAGAAAAAAATTGATAACTTTTACAGCTCACCAGACAATACCAAGTCTCAATGTAAATCAGAGTAAAAAGAAGTGGGTTTATACTTCAAAATATGAACATTTGAGTTGATATTTGTTGCTTGAGAATTTGTGTTAGATATATGTATATAAAACATCTTTAAATTAAAGTATTTTTGTTATGCTGGTTGATATAGAAAATCCAACATTAAAATTATATAAGGAAGATTAATGGTTTTCAAAGATATTTCAAAAACTTGTTTTTTTTTTTTTAATTTTTGGATAGGGTTTTGTTTTTATACTTTCTATGATTTTCTTTTCCTTCATTTGTTTTCTAACTTGTTGCTTCTTTTTTCTTTTTAGTTCATCTCGCTCTCATCATTTCTTCCTCATTTTTAGCTAATTCCTTGTTTTTTCATTGTTTTTTTTTCTAGTTTTTTATTTTTCCATTCCCAATTTTTATTTTATTTTTTCTCCTAATATCTCTTCTCCTTTCTGTTTTTCTTATCCTCTCTCTTCTGCCTTTTCTCCTTCTGCTTTACATTTCCCTTCCTCCCTCTGCCTTTTCTCTTCTTCTTTTCTGTTTTTATTCTCCTCTCACATCTACTTTACCCTTTCTCCTACTCCCTCTGCCCCTTTTGCCTCCTTTGTTTTTATTCTCTTTCTTCTGCATTTCCTCCTCATTCTTTTGCCTTTCTTTTTATCTTCCTTTATGTTTGTATTCTCTCTTTTCTACTTTACATTTCCTCGTCTTCCCTCTGCCTTTTCTCCTCCTCCTCCTTTCTCATCTCTATTATATTTTTTATTACCTTGAAAATTCTTTGATTTTTTTTTTATCTTCAGTTTGTTTTTTTTTCATTTTTACCAAATTTGGAAATGAGTCATTTTTTTTCTTTTCTAAACTTATTTTCTAGGGCAACATGGTCAAGTTACCTGAGGAAGAGAATACGCCTGAAAAACGAGTTAATAAGATATTTGAAATAATGGATAAGGTGAGAAAAACGCGGTTGAATTTTCTTCAATTTGTTTGTTGACACTGTATTTTTCTTTCAATGGTTTTAATCTTACCTTGCAATTTCAGGTGAGAAAAAAAAGACTAACAGAATTAACCTTTAATCAACCATCCATTTTTTTTTTTAGCACTTATTATTCATATGAATTTCTTAACACAATTTCCCAACTTCCTTTACCAGAACAAACAAAATCCCTAAACCTTTGTACATTATTAATCATTCTAAAATTTAAATTATCCTAAATTTAATCATTTTTCTTTTTCTTCTTCTTCTTCTTCTTTCCATTTTTTGGCTATGTAATCTTTGAACTTTCTATGTTGTTCTAGAATGTTACTGAATCCTATTACAGGGGCATGGACACATATACATCTACATCTAAAGTGGGACTGACATGAATTAGAAGAATAATTTATCAATATGTAATAAAGATATTTATTTATACCTAAACATGAATACAACAGTTAACATAAACACAATGTCCTTTTCTATATACAGAGAACATGTCAATCAGACCTACACATCTGGTGAGTGAAATAAGGATAGATAGCTTGTACCTTTAAAACCCTTGGCAACTGGTTCCATTGACAGCAGAAAGAATTTCTTGTCTGTTACTTCAGTCTCTTCTCTCCTTGGTGGTCATTTTTTTTTTATTGAGAGACCGCCTAACATCATTTGACAGCCTAACATCATGTGACCAATCTCTATATATAGGAGCAGACGAATTTTACAAAACCAACACATATATACAAATGTCTCCAAAAGTGAGATTTGTTAATATTTTGAGGAAGGACAAAAAGTACACTGTCAAAATGAAAAAAAGGGAAAAAATAATAAACATGGAAATTACCCCCAAGAGAACCATACATAATGACAACACCATTTTTGCCAAACAAAATTCATATAAGAATCATCCTTACTTTAATATTGGTAGATATCTTTTGCAGATGAGTATATTTGGAAGTGGGCAGCCAGAAATTTAATTAGTTTACACTTTTCATTATCTCAAATCATAGAGATTATAGACATTATGAAGCTTAACTTTTATAATCTAATATTTACTGGATTATCCGACTTCCCACTCCATTTACATTTAATATTATAATATTATGGATTTAGGTTAGGTATATTCATTGTTAGTCAGTGGCATCTGGATAAATATTACTCTAGCAGATATCTCAACTTTGTATTTTAGACCTGGTAGATATTTTTAAGCCATTTTTAGAACTCAGCTACTCAGTGTATAGTATTATAGCCTTATTTCTAGATTTTGTATTTAGGGTTTTGTAGGTAGGTGTTGTTTTGAGGGTAGTAAAAACCTTTTAAGATAAAGATTCTCTTCAAAGAAATAGCTGTTCTCAAACAAGATGGTGACTTCTCATACAAGATTATAGAAGATAAGAATATGGCTACTGTTACATTGAAGGTCAAATATACTGTATTATTCAGTTTTCCTAATAAAGGATTTGGAGGCACAGTGGAGTAATGGATAGCAGCTTGGAATGATGAATCAGAGAGCCGAGTTCAAATTCCAGTCGAATCCATTACATATGTGCTAATATCCTTGGGAAATGTATGGATCCTCTTCTTCTCCCCTTTGGGTAAATAGCAGTACAGACCAGGTTCTATAGCCTTGGATGGCAACTGGTCTATCACAGAAAGAAATGGCAACCAACTGAAGGAAAAAAAATCTGCCTTGTCAGTCATGTATCGAAAGATACATGATCGCCTAAGTGTGTATTACGCATGGCACATAACTAACTGACTGAATAAAGGATTATCCAATTAGAATGTAAGATCCCCAATTTTGAAAACTTTAGAATAAGCACTTTTTTATTTATGGTATTACTAGTTTTATTCCATCTTGTTATTGTTAATTTTCTATGCCAACACTCCTTTGTCTGTTAGAAATAATGGTAAAATAATTTAGAATAAGAAAAGACAAATAATAGAAGAATTACTAAAGATTGATTATATCTAATCATTTAAGCTTTCTTGAGATGCAACAGGTTCAAATTACATCGGAAGCTTTTTCTTTATCTCTGATTTAACACAATTCTAGCAATTGCATATTGTTGCTTGGTCAGTAAATTTTATATGTTAACTTTTTTTGAGTTATTTAATGTTAAAATCTATCCTTCGCATAAAAAATTCTGTCAAAGTTCTGCTTTGTTTGAACAGAGTCATTTATGTCTTTAACTGTTTTTTCAGTGTAAATATCACCGTGGCCAATGGTTTTTTTCATTGAAGAAAATCATTGATTTATTTATTTTTCAAAAGTTCCCTGAACACATTCTTCAGTTGTTACTGAGATACAAAAATAACCACAACAGTGCCTTGACAGAGGGCAATTGTTTAAAAGCCAGTTGAGCAGATCATTAACACATTCACTGTTACCTTGGATTTTCAAATCCATCATAATGCCATGTACATTTTTGTTGACATTACTATTAAATATTTCTAAGTATGACTACATATGTTTTATTTAAATAAATTAAAATTCATTAAAATATAAAAGAATAATGTTAGGTTGTTTTATTTCAAATAAAACAAATTTAAATAAAAAAATATTGCATATTCTCTAAAACTAATACAAGAAATCTCTTGCCTGAATCAAAATTAATAAAAGCTGACATACATAAAAAAGACCGAATGTGAAAGATGTGTGATTGGGAACAGAATGAAATTTAATCAAAGTAAAAATATACAAGAATACAATGTTAATATGTTAAAAGCCAAAATATCCCAGAAAACACATTTGAAATGAATCATTGTTTGTTTTCAAAGACATTCTACCACAGAAATATTAAAATACCCTCCCTTCATATCACAAAGATATTTCAAGGAAGTTAAGCAGTTTAAAAATACAAAAGAAATATTTTAATTAATATGAGAGTTTTATATCTTCAGTGAATAACAATGACGATATTAGTGAGACTAAACCAAATTATTTGTTTTCAAAGCTGTTTCCATTGTCATTTCCAAACTAGTGTTTTCTTTTCCATCAAGTCTGAATTTTGAGTAAAATAAGAACTTTGTCTAAGTCAATACTTTTAATTAATGCAGTTTCATGAAAAATTAATATTTATGGAATGTAAGTAAATATCAGATAATCATGAAGAATTTGGTTAGGCACAAAGTCATCAGACTAATCCTATCATTGATTTTCAAAACTATCACTATACTTTTAGTTGCTTAATACAATGGGGGAGGGGGGGGCTACTGCAATAAATCATGAGCCTGAGCAAACATTAATAAAAGTACATGCATGTGAAAACAAACCTAATGAGAAAAAGATGTGGTTCAGGGCAGAATTTCAAGGGTTGTGGGCCTGGGTTTTAATAATTTTTTTTTTTAATTTATAAAGGGTTTTTTAAATTTTTTTTAAGTATTTTTTTTTAAACTCAAGGACACATGGCACAGTGGATAGAGGCGTTAATTAGATCCAGTGACTGGACCCAAAGTGTGTGAGTTCAATACCTGGTTAAGGCTGTGGAGAGAGGAATTAACAGGAGATAACTAATAACTGACATCCTTTAGACGTGGCATGTAGAACTAGAACAGTCTACCCCAGCGAGAGAAATAAAGGGTTCAGTTCGACATTCCAACCACCTGAAGAAGGCCAGAGTGTACAACGGCCGAAACATTGTGATAAATATGGCAACAAAGATGAGGATGATAGTCTGAACAATGTAAATAGTGTACATAATACCTCATCTCAGAAATATAAGCAGATACTATTTTTTTTTAAATTCAATGCCAGTTGTTATCTTCTGTCTATGTAATTCTTGTTTTTTATTGTTTTCTCTCCTTAATAGTGTTTTTTTTTTCTCATATTCCCTAACACTCAGTAACTCCTTGCATCTTAGTGTTTTTATTGCCTTACTGGGGTGAATGATAAAAAAAAAGAAAGTATAGAAAACTTATTCAAGATTTATCCCTAACCCTAATAAATCATATTTCCTTCATACCAACATTTCTGTATCATACTCTGTTTACTGATCTTGGCCCAAATTATTTTTTTTATAATTATTATAATTACATGTAGCAACTTTAGTCAGTAGTTTAATTAAACCTTTCTCCAATATCAAGAAGACGTTTTTAATTCCAAATTTGTTATCATTATGCTTTTGAAGTGAAAACTATCTGGTAGAATTTAATTCTGGTTTAAACAAATTATTTTTGTCCTCAGTAGTCATAAAACCTCTCTCTTTTTTTATTCCTTACTTTACAAAGCATTCCAATATTTGAGTTACTTATTGATGATAATTTCACAGTTAAATATCATTCCCCAAGAGACTTAATCCCCAGAAAATATTTACTGATATCACCATATATTTAAATTTGAATAGAAATTATCAGTGAGGCTTTACAGCATGATAATTTATTTAAACGCATATTTTCATCTTTTTTTCCAATTAGCTATAGCTGTTCTTAATGTTAGAAATACATTTAAATGAAACTTATGGTGTCTCATAACTGGACGAGTATCTTCATCCTAGTTTTTGTCAGATGTATTCTTTGTCTTTCCTCAAGTGCATGGTCACCTGCAAGTTATGTTTTTCTTCCTTTGATAAATGTTTTTTTTCAATCTGCATATATTCTAACCAATCAGAGGACTCGTTACATACTGGTTACAGCAATGCTGTGAAAGAGACCTCTGGATTGGCCATTTCCTTTATTTTCTTAAGAGGAGCCATTACAACTTCATAGAAATATTTTTGAGATGGCTAAAGCATTTTGCTTAAAGATAATGATATACAGGGTGCAACGGGTAAATTGTCACCATTTTATATTTTTACTTTTATGCATGTGTGTTGTTTGTTTTTGTCGATTGCACAGTATAGTAGGGTCAGTTGGGCACCATCTGTGAGAAAAAGAGCACCATGAAACAGTTCACTCCTCCAGAAATTTGATAATGGCTTGCTGCACTTCTTTGCAGTCATGTCAGTAGCTCCCATATGAACATTTCAGAGTGCTTG